AAAGTCAACTCAAAATGGATCAAGGAGCTAGGAATCAGTCCAGAGACTCTGAATCTAATAGAAGATAAAGTTGGCCCTAATCTTCATCATGTGGGGGAAGGCCCCAAATTCTTTAATAAGACACCTATAGCACAAGAGTTAAAACCAATAATCAACAAATGGGATGAATTCAAACTAAAAAGTTTTTTCTCAGCAAGAGAAATAATATGTGAGGTGAATAGGGAGCCTACATCCTGGGAACAAATTTTTATCCCTCACACATCTGATAGAGCTCTAATATCTACAGTATACAAAGAACTCCAAAAGTTAAACAACAAAAATAAATCAATAACCCAATCAACAAATGGGCCAAGGATCTGAACAGACACTTCTCTGAAGAGGATATACAATCAATCAACAAATACATGAAAAAATGCTCACCATCTCTAGCAATCAGAGTAATGCAAATTAAAACTACTCTAAGATACCATCTCACTCCAATAAGAATGGCAGCCATTATGAAGTCAAACAAAAATAAGTGCTGGTGAGGATGAGGGGAAAAATGTACACTCATACATAGCCAGTGGGAATGCAAATTGGTGGAGACAATTTGGAAAGCAGTATGGAGATTCCTGGGAATGCTGGGAATGGAACCACCATTTGACCCAGCTATTCCCCTTCTTGGACTATACCCAAAAGATCTAAAAGAGCATACTACAGGGACACAGCCACATCAATATTTATAGCTGCACAATTCACAATAGCTAGATGGTGGAACTAGATGCCCTTCAATAGATGAATGGATTAAAAAGTGGCATTTATATACAATGGAATATTACTCAGCACTAAAAAATAACAAGATCATGGCATTTGCAGGGAAATGGATGACATTAGAGCAGATTATGCTAAATGAAGTTAGCCAATCCCTAAAAAAACAAATGCCAAATGTCTTCTCTGATATAAGGGGAGTGACTTAAAATGGGATAGGGAGGAAGAGCATGAGAAGAAGATTACCAGTAAATAGGGAAGAGTGTTGGGAGGGAAGAGTTTTGGGAGGGAAAAGAAGGAAGAAAAGGAGTTGCATGGAAGATGGAAGGAGACCCTCATCATTATACAGAATACATGTATGATGTTGTGATGAGGAAAAGAAAAAAAATTGTGTCACATTATATTGGATAGAGAGAAAGGATGGGGATGAGGAGAGGGGAAGGGGGGATAGGAAGGGCAGCAGAATAGAATGGACATTATGATTGCTGTATGTATATAGGTGACTCTATGACCAGTGTGATTCTGCAATCTGTGCAATCAGAAAGAGAGAAATTATACCCCAATTCATTCAAATGTATGAATTGCCAAGATCATTGTAATGTCATGTGTAGCTAATAAAAAAATAAAAATAAAAAATAAAAAGAGTATCATTGAATTAAACATGTAAATATCCACGATGTCTCTTCAGATTGTCATGTAAAATTGTGTTTTATTTTTTCTCTTTTATTTGCTTTTTTAAAACTTCTTATTCATAGACTCATGTGAACTATCTATGTGGATAATAAAATTCAGATGTTCTCCTTCAAGTGGAGGCAGTAAAAAATAAGTTTTTATAAGAAGTTGTCTTGCCCTGTATAAGATCTTTCTCAAACTTGATTTCATATTTCAATATTCCAAAGCCTTAGACAATAATGATAAAATTGGTTTATTTTACTCTTATCATAATGTCAAGCCTGGTTGAAAGAATAATCTATATTTAGAGTGCTTCTTGTCAGTAATCATAGACCTGCACTTGTGTTTAAATTAATGAAGAAAGATATTATAATGATAGACAAATATCCTCACTGAAGTGTTTATTCTTCTTATGAATAACCAGTGTATTCATTCATCTAGGCAGTGATCCACAGATTGGCTTTAGTGAATGGGTGAACTCATGCTAGCTGAGCATAAGTCATCATTCTTTTTGATTTCCACATGACCTTCAGGTACCTGATTTCACAGTGAATGTACTGTATCTGTATATATGTTTATTTTCACTTAATTGCCTTTGTGGAATACTCAAACCATTAAACAAATGTGTAACAAATGTCATTGCTACCTTAACATGCACAGTCTAAAAATAAATGAGATCTAGTGTTATTTCATGTGCTCATTTTATATTTTTATTTGTTGCTTAGATATTCATGACATGAGAGTATATTTAACATATTATATATTCATTTGTTGCAACCTATTTCAGTTTTGATACCTTTCTTGTGGTTGAACATGATGTGCAGTTCCACTCCATTCCATTCCACGTTTTATGAGGAATCTCCATATGCTTTCCAGAGTGGTTGCAGCAATTTGCAGTTCCACTATCATTTGCTTATTTTCTATCTGCAATTTTGTTTCTGAAACATTGGTCATTTTATATAATTAGTTTCATGTTGCTTGATGTAAAGAGTTCAGATATCTGGGTTCATGTATGGAGATAAAATTAGAGAGGAGGTTGAGCAAAAGAAAACTCTGTATGTGTTGGTGGATTTGGCTAAACTTATGAAGAAGAGCAGACATAAACTTCCTGATCTGCAGTAGAGATGATTTTTTTTTTTGTTCTGGCTTTTTCTGCAATGAAGGGCAACTGGAGCTTGTCCTGTAGAAAGAAAGAATCTAAAGGACATTAACAGTCATGTACTTCACATAGTTGTATGTGGACGTGAAGAAGTGAATTTTTATTAAAACTACAGAAATTCGCAAAGGGGCTGACAGTGTCTATTTCTAAAAAGTAGAGGAAAGAAGGAAGGAAGAAAGGAAAAAAAATAATGATAAAACTTTAATATATTAAACTTTAAAATTTAAGTTACTTTCTAATGCACACATTTTATGTATAACTTATTTTAAAATAATCTATTAATCAGAAAATGTAAATTATATTTTAATCTATACATTATTACTTTATAAAAGTAACAATTATTAGATTCCACAATACACACAATATATCGTATCCCAGAAATAAATATATTTGTTTCATATTAATTCTGTCTATATTTAATTACAAAATGTGCTGGAGATAAAAAACACAACCTACTATGAGATGAATTATGTTCCTAAGTATGGAAGTTTCTAAGGCCTAGAATGACAGTTGTTGCCTATCTTGGGATCTAGAAGTGTCAAAATTATGAAAAAATATTCAACATCTCTAGCAGTTAGAGAAAGGAAATTAAAACTACATTGAGATTCCATCAGTTACAATGAAAATTAGAACCCAGTTACAATGTAAATTAGCCAGTTACAATAGAAATTGTAACAAATGTTGCCAAAATTGTGGGGAAAAATGTACACTCATACACTGCTGGTTGGACTGCAAATTGGTGCAAAAATTCTGGAAAGCAGTATGGAGATTCCTCACAAAACTTGGAAAGGAATCACCGTTTGTTCCAGTTACTCTACTTCTTGGCTTATACCCAAAGGTCTTAAAATTGACATATTAGAGTGATGCACCCATATGGATATTTATACCAGTTAAATTTATGTGAGCTAAACTATAAAACCATTCTAGGTACCCTTCAACAGATAAATGGATAAAGAAAATGTCCTATATGTACACAATGGAATATTAGCTAGCTACAAAGATCAATGAAATTATGGTATTTACAAGTAAATGAATGGAACTGGAGACTATCATGTTAAGTGAAAAAAGCGAATCCTCCAAACCAAAGGCTGCATGTTCTCTCTGAAAGTGGGTGGTAACTCAAATAAGGGCAGGGCTTAAGGATGAATAGAAATATTTTGGATTAGACAGAGGGTAATGAAGGGAAGGGAGGTGTTACAGGGATAGGAAAGATAGTAGAATAAATCAGACATGTGCTCATATGCGCATTATAAATATATGACCAATGTAATTCTGTACCATATGTAACCAGAAGAGTGGGAAGTTATAATCCACATATGTGTAATATGTCAAAATAGCATCTCTTGTCATCTATAACTAATAAGAACAATTAAAAACAGAATAAAAGTTTTTAAAAATTCAGAATATGATTTACTTCCTCAGCTGCAACCACACGAAGCCTTGTAAAATGCACTGAAACCTATTGGACAAATTTGAACAAAAGGCTGATATTCATGTCCACACCACCTCCATCCCTCCCACTGCCTAAAATAGTGCATTCCATCCATGTCTAAAAACATACATGAGTCCTGTTTTCTAAGTCCTTTCAGGATCTACAGTCCCTGTTGCATTTCATGTAGACAATGGTGGCTGAAGGTATATGGCTGTGACAGACTCATAGTCACCACTTGCAGTGTCACTTGCTGACAATAGGGGTTACAAACATGTGAAATTAGAAAGTTTGAAAACATGCATACATGTAAGTATCTTCTAAATGGCATCAAAAGGCTATTCATAAGATTTTGCCACTGAGTTCGTCACCAAGTACTAGGTGATAGAACCTTTAGAACAAAGATTTGTGCTGTATTTAATAAACTAGATGCTACCCTGCAAGATGATAAAACAAGAGACTTTATGTTTGCCTGCTTAATTTTGATCTGAGAAGAATTTACATCAAAGACAACATTTAGTCCTGTCCAGGAAAGAGTCAAGCGAAGTATGCATAAATTCAAAATGTGGAGTCAGAGGAAAGGAAGAAGGCATTCTGAGGTAATGAGGAGGCCACAGAAGAGGCTGACTCTCCTGGCCACTAGTAAGAGGCAGTGGGGATGCAGTGGGATTGTAGGACTGTCTCAGGGGTTCTGATCAGAATGTCACATGATGATGTGTATGGGCTTGGACAACAGGGGGCACTGCAGACCAGTCAAGAGGATTCAGGAAATAACCAGAATGTAATGAGTCACCTGGCCCTGCCTAATGCTCTCTTGTTATGGCTCACAGCTGTGAACTCCCACACCCCTAAACCAACCCAACTCCACTCCTGCATACCCTCTTGGCATCTTTATGTAAAGGAGTCTGAACCAGGACCAGTCAGAAAACAGGGAGAAATCTATTTGCATAAATAATCCCTCCCCTTCTCAGAGTATGAAGAGGGAAAGGGAGAGATTTGGGGGAAACCTCTGTTCAGAATCAGGAACAGAAGTTGGAGCTCAGGATGACCTTCACAATGGCCTGGTCCTGTCTCCTCTTCACATTCCTTGTTCAGTGCACAGGTGACATGATATGGAGGAGGGATAGGGTGTGGGAGTCCTGAATCTACTCTTGTTTCTAGACAAAACTTATGCTCTCCATGTTTCTCTCACTTCCAGGGTCCTGGTCCCAGTCTGTGCTGACTCAGCAGCCCACAATGTCTGGGACTCCAGGAGTGACAGTCACCATCTCCTGCACTGGAAGCAGCACAAATATTGGGAATAGCTATAATGTGCACTGGTACCAACAGCTCCCAGAAACGGCCCCCAAACTCCTCATCTATAGTAATAGTAATCGACCCTCAGGGGTCCCTGATCACTTCTCTGGCTCTAAATCTGGCAACTCTGGCTCACTGACCATCAATAGGCTACAGCCTGAGGATGAGGCTGACTATTTCTGTCAGTCTTATGACAGTAGCCTCAGTTCTCGCACAGTGCTTCAGGTTCATGGGGAAGTAGGACAAAAACCCCTTTACCATCTGTCAGGAGGGCAAACACCCAGCAGCTTTGCGCAGGACTGCACTCTGAGTTTTTCTGCTACCACTATTGCAGGCCCAGCTGAATCTCCTGGCAGTTCTTTGAGTGAGGACTTTCTTGTCCTCTTTCCTCATAGTCATTCACAGCAGCATGCTCCTAGGAAAATATCTTCTAAAAACATAAATTCCTGCTTCTCATTAGTTTGAGGAGCTAAACATGATGTTGTAGTCTCTTTGCCTTGAAGTTCAGGTGATAAGGCAGCCAGTGCAACCCTGGTCACCTCAGACTTGCTCTCTGATGGGAATTCTGTGGTTCCACTTTCCATTTTTTTTTCCATTTCCAGGAATTCTAGAACTGTATCTTCTCCTTTGCCCTCATTATGTATATCTGTGATTCATGTTTTAGCCTAATTTTATATAAGTTTCCTAACATTCAGTATTTGACAGACAATAAAACACATATAAATTTAAACTTTGAGAGATTTTTAGATATTTTCACACCTTTGGGAATATCAACACACTCAGGCCAAGGAATCTAACCACCAGCACACAAAGCCCCCTTTGGCCATTTGGAATCCTCCCTCCATCTCTGCTCAAAGAAACATCCAGAGAGGATCCAACATGGTGGCGGGCGCGGAGAGATCAAGTCTATGACCTCTTCAGCTGCATGGGCATAGGGAGTCTTAAACCATCTAAATGCTGTTTGCTCAGGATCACTAGGCAATGCTGAGCTATCGTGGATCTGGGGCAAACAGTCTGCACCTCTCAGAACACACACCAAGCTCAGATCGGCTGAATTCAGGCTCCCCTTCGCCTGCATCTCACAGACAATCCCAAACCGCTGTGACTCAGCACTAAACAATCCCACTGAAACAACTTGTCGGCCCCTCCTGATCCTGCGGAGGTAAATACCAATGGAGCCTTCATAGGCAGTGGCCACAGGATTGAGATGGGGCTGGGGAGAGCTGGTCAGGACACACCTGTTGCATGGGACACCCAGCAAAGGGAACGAACTGTCGCCATTTGCATGGGACACCACCATGGCAGAGAACTGACCTCACCAAAATGCAGCGGAGGAGATAACTTCATTGAAACCAGTGGTGGCAGGTGTGTAACCCCCTAGCCCTCCCTCTCCACACAGCAGGGAAACCTCAAGGGCCCCTCCCAGCTCTCCTGTGAGTGCCATAGTCAGACTGAGGGAATCAGGAGCATTGCGGGATCTGCAGTACGGGACCCTGGGCTACCACTCCCACCAGCACTGACAACTGAGGTCTCTTGCACCAGCTACAAGGGGCATGGCTACCAGAGGGCAAGCAAAATACGCTGAGGGTTCTCAGCCCCACACTCCACAACTTTAGGGTCTGAGAGAATGGCCAGCAGGGAGAGTGTACCCAGTCATACAAGAAAATAGGGCTCCCGGGAGCAGCAGATCTGGCGTGTAGCAAATATTGTGGTGAGCATCACCAGTGATTGGGGCCTGGCTGTAGGAAAAGTGGGGAAGTGACTAGACACAAGAAAAGGCCCTAGGCACTCAGGATTGGGGACCCGCCCAGTCGAGGGGAGGAACTGCTTCACAGTGATTGATTCCTGCATATGGAGAGGAAAAGCTGGGCCCAGTGGACACAGCTCCACCTACTGGAAGAGAAGTTAGTCGAACTCTAAGACTGCATTTTAATTATTTTTTAATTTTTTTTTATATTTTTTAAATTATTTTTTAATTTTTATTTTTTTGGTTATTTTAAAAAATTTTTTATTTTCTATTTTTTTCTTTTGTCTTTTCATTTCTTTTCAATTTCCTTATCCCCCTTTCATTGAATTTTACCTGTTTACTCTCAATCTCTTTAGTGACTTCTTCCCTTCTCTTCTAATAACTTTTCTCCCAAATATCATGATGCTGTTTATGTGTAATTTACTAAATATGTATAGGTTAATGTTCCGAGGAGTTCTATAGTGCTACCAAGTCCCTAGCTACCCCCAAATACTCCAGACCGTTCTCCTGTTAATATCCCTCGTTAGTAGAGCAACCTTCCAAGGTTGCCAAGAGATACCAACCTCAATACCAGCACATCATTCCACCTAAATATTAGTCCCAAGACCAAACCACAGACTGCTATATGCCATCAGAATCCGTACACAGTTTAGGAAATGAATGAATCTGCATTAAAGTGCAACAAAACTCATCATCTCTAGTCATAGTCTACCATCACAAAAGCGAGACCCCAGAGACACACAAAACCAAATAAATTTATAGGAGTAAACAGTAACTCAGCAGTCAAACAGAACAAGAAGTAACATGAGCAGCATGAAAAAGCAAGGAAGAAAAGGGGTACAAACAATTCAGGACAGCATAAATATTCAGGAGGACCTAGAGGCATCAGAAAAATTGTCAAATAAAGAACTCAAGGAATACCTTAGACAGATGGAATGGAATCTTAAAGAGGATATGAGACAGCAAATTCAAACAATGAAAGAGCACATTCAAAATGAATTATATAAACAGATAAAAGAAGCAAATAAGCATCTTTATCAGGAGATAGAGATTATAAAAACAAATCAAACAATAATTCTAGAAATGAAGGAAACTATAAATCAAATTAAAAACTCAAATGAGAGTATCACTAACAGAGTGGAGCAAGTAGAAGCCAGAACATCAGATAATGACGACAAAATATATCATCTTGAAAAGAGTCTAGCCAACTCAGAAAAGCTGGGAAAAAATCATGAGAAAAAACCCAAGAGATATGGGATAACATAAAAAAAAACAAACTTAAGAGTCATCGGGATAGAGGAAGGTATAGAGGTTGAAATAATTCTAGAAAACTTTCCAGATATAAAAAAGGAAATGGATGTACAAATTGTAGATGCATACAGGACACCGAGCATACAAAATCACAGTAGACCAACGCCAAGACACATTGTTATGAAGATATTCAATATACAGAACAAAGAGAAAATATTAAAAGCTACAAGAGAAAGGAGGCAGATTACATTCAGGGGTAAACCAATAAGGTTAACAACGGATTTTTCATCACAGACGCTGAATGCGAGAAGATCCTGGAAGAACGTGTTTTAAACAATGAAAGACAATGAAGACCAACCAAGAATTTTGTATCCAGCAAAATTAAGCTTCAGGCATGACAACGAAATAAAAATATTTCATGATAAACAAAAGGTAAAAGAATTTACAGCCAGAAAACAAGCATTGCAAAGCATCTTGAGCAAAACACTACATGAGGCAGCACTGGAAAACAATAACCAAAACCAACAATGGAAAGTAACTCAGTAAAGCCAGAGGACCGGGAGAAGCTAATCATGGAGAAACAAACCAAATTAAGAAAAAAAAAAAAGATATAATGGAACATGGCTGGAAGTACAAACCATATACGAATAGTAACTCTAAACGTTAATGGCTTAAACTCACCAATAAAGCGACAAAGGCAGGTAACATGAATTAAAAAAAAAATCCAACAATATACTGTCTCCAGGAGACACATCTGATTGGAAAAGCCATACACAGGCTGAAGGTGAAAGGTTGGGAAAAAACATACCATGCACAAAGTACTCGTAAGCAAGCAGGGGTGGCCATCCTCATATCGAATCAAATCGACGTCAAGACTAAGTTAATCAAAAGGTATAAGGAAGGACATTATATACTGTTAATAGGAACCATTCACCAATAAGTCATAACAATTATCAATATTTATGCACCAAATAATGGTGTTGCAACATTCATAAAACAAACTCTCCTCAAGTTCAAGAATTAAATAGACCACAACACAATAATAATGGGTGACTTCAACACACCTCTCTCACCATTGGACAGATCCTCCAAACAAAAGTTGAATAAAGAAACTATAGAACTCAATATCACAATCAATAACATAGACTTAACTGATATATATATATATATATATATATATATATATATATATATATATATATATATATATATATATATATAATATATATATCAACCATCATCAAGTGGATATACTTTTTCTCAGTAGCACACGGATCCTTCTCAAAAATAGACCATATATTATGCCATAGGGCAACCCTCAGTAAATATAAAGGTGTGGAGATAATACCATGCATTTTATCTGTTCATAATGGAATGAAACTGGAAATCAAAGATAAAAGAAGGAAGGAAAAATCCTACATCACATGGAAAATGAATAATATGTTACTGAATGATCAATGGGTTACAGAAGATATAAAGGAGGAAATCAAAAAAATTCTTAGGGATAAATGAAAATATAGACACAACATATCAGAATATATGGGACACAATGAAAGCAGTTTTAAGATGGAAATTCATTGCCTGGAGGTCATTCCTCAAAACAAACAAACAAACAAACAAAAAAAAAAAAAAAACAAAAAAGAAAAAAAAAAACAACAAATAAATGATCTCACACTTCATCTCAAAGCCCTAGAAAAGGAAGAGAAAAAACAACAGCAAATGTAGCAGAAGGCAAGAAATACTTAAAATCAGAGTGGAAATCAATGAAATTGAAACAAAAGAAACTATTGAAAAAAAATGACAAAACTAAAAGTTGGCTCTTCAAAAAAATAAATAAGATCAACAGACCCTTAGCCATGCTAACGAAGAGAAGAAGAGAAAGAACTCAAATTACTAACATACGGGATGATAAAGGCTATATCACAACAGATGCTACAGAAATACAGACAACAATTAGAAATTATTTTGAAACCCTATATTCAATAAAGTAGAAGATAGTGAAGACATCAATAAATTTCTTAAGTCATATGATTTGCCCAGACTGAGTCTGGAGGATACACACAATTTGAACAGACCAATATCAATGGATGAAATAGAAGAAGCAATCAAAATACTACCAACAAAGGAAAGCCCAGGACCGCATGGGTATACAGCAGAGTTTTACAAAACCTTTAAAGAAGAATTAATACCAATACTTTTCAAGTTATTTCAGGAAATAGAAAAAGAGGGAGCTCTTCCA